CGCATGTCTTCGGCAGCAGTAGACGATCGCGGATCACCGTAGCTCGCAGAACTGCATGAGACGTCGGATGCAGCAGTGCTCGATTGAGCTTGACTGAAACTGTGATATGCAGAGAAGGGATACACAGTGATTCTGCGCATGTCACAGTTTCAGTCACGATCAATCGAGCACTGAACGGCTGCATCCGACGTCTCATGCAGTTCTGCGAGGAATGGTGATCAGTGATCGTCTACTGCTGCCCTAGACATGTGCAGAAGTGTCAGCTCGGAAGTACCGGTATGGTACTGCTGCATCCGACCTTGTCCCCTTAACTGCTATGAGATACGGTAATTATTAATATTATAATGTCTGTGGCAGTTCTGTGCAATTTATGGTATCTTGGAGACAGTCAGGGCTGGGCAGGCAGGGAGAGCTGACCCACCCAATCCAAGCAGGCTTTGTATGCAGTGTGCACAGTGTGCACAGAAAATACTGGTACATTGCTTGCCGTGATTGGTTGGAAGAGGGGGGTAGTCTTATACGGCGAGTATAGCCCAAACCCTATATTTTAACAGGAAAAGTAGGGGGGTCGTCTTATACGCCCAGTCGTCTTATACGCTGGAAAATACGGTATATATCAACGAGACAGAACTTTCTTTTGGTGCTATTTTAAAACCACTTTGTTTTATTATTTACTACCTATAGGACCAATAAAAAAAATCTCCCTTTACTTTCTGTTAAAATAAAAATACCAGGACAGAGTGAACACCCTCCAAATGACCCCTTTTTGAAAAATAGACATCCCAACGTGATCAATTTTGCCACAATTGTTTGGAAATTAAGAAAAATGCTGGTATTGAGGTGGTTAAAAAGAGACCATAGTCTCTTCTGGGTCACAGGAGTGCACTTACTTTTGCTCTCCTGTGAACTAAAATCAGCTGATAGCAAGCTATTGTGCTCTGTTGGCTGACATCACAGAGTCGCCCCAGGCTCTTGGTGGATCCCGACCATATTGTTAGGAAACATGCAGAAGCCTGTTCGGCAGCTGGCTCAGCCTGTTAGCATGTGCGTGAGCGATGGAGCCAGCCGCTCCTTCTCCCTCTCCAACCCCGGCGCTGCACTGAGCACTGGTGGAGCAAAGGGGTAAAGCAAAGAGCAGTGATTGACCAAGAACTGAGCAATCAGTGGGCTTAGAGCTGACAGGGGACCGCTGCAGCATAAGACTTAATGCTTCAGCTTAGAGTTGAGTATGTGTGTTTATTTTCTCATTTAAAATGGAACTTGGTAATGATTCATTAGATGCACGAAATGCAGTGCATGCACGTCACATACAGAGAGAGAAGGTGGTGAAGGGATTAATGTACAGGTCACATACATTGGAGGATGGAGATGGAGTTATTGTGCAGATGTGCAGGATAAGGGAGGTGAAGGGTTAATATACAGATCACGGAAAAAGACAGTATTGATCAGGTGTATGGATGGGAGTGAAACTTTGCATCAGCTGCTGCCGTGATCTGTTCAGTGACTGGGAACTAATAAAGGAATCGTTAATTCTCCCTTCCTGTTGTGAGAAGAAGGGAGAGACCACCAGATGTAAATTTTACACTGTTTACATCTGTGATTGCTTTAAGTGGTATCCTTGACTACAAGGTACAAGTTCCCCTCAGATCAGCTCTGTACACAGTTTGGGGAATTCTTAAAAGGTGTCATAGATACCCTTTAAAATTCTGTAGGAGTGCAGTGCCAAAAGTGTTGGTGATTGCACCCGATTCATGTACCTGTCAGATATACAGTATGTACCTGTCTCTGTTAGTGCTACATTGAGGTTGGAGTGTCCATATCCATCCACAATCATTACATTTGTTATACTAACAGATACATAGCTAAGAAGTTTAGTACTGGGGTGGGAAGGATCCTGATCAGGTCCGTTTTGCTTTTAATTGTCAGTGGCGGATATATAGCTGTTTTTCAGTCCAGTGGCTTTTGAATCTGCTCACTGCTGTGTGCTATCAGTCAACAGCCAAGCGAGTTAGATGGGGAACTAGTCTCTCAGTTCCCCATTAGGCTTTGCCAACCTACTGACAAGCCATTTTCCAAATATGAGTCTTGCCATATTTGGGTAATGACATCACTAGTATCCCAGGCACCTTTGTTTACATTCACTTTTTAGCTGGAGAATCTCCCAGTGGGTATATAATACTGTGTGCGAAGCGGTCACATTAATGAGAGCTTCACAGGCCAGCCATGCCCCCACCTGAGTAGTTGATGGTAATTAAGATCAAAACCTGAGCTACCAGTTTCCTAATCTTTGAACTGTCAGTGATTCATTAAGAATCTGATGCTTCCATATGGACAGATTCTTAAAGTGTCAGTAGAGAAAACTCCTTCAATTTTTCAGAGCCAGTAATGTTATTGTTGCTGGCATTAATACTTTACTGAAGTAGGTACAAGTAGCTCTTAAGGAAACTACTGGCAGAAATGTGTCGGTATAGATTTATTGAATTCGCAAAAATAGCTATAAACCAAGCTAGTGCACTAGGCACCAAGTGGTTATTTCTGTAGCACTGTTTATAAAGATGTATGGTGGTAGGCAAGTGGTAAAGTATACGTAAAAAAAAATCACTGAAATCTCATAAGCTTTAGAAGAAGAGTATAAGACTCGTAAAAAAAAAATCCTACTCACCTAGGGGAATGCAACATCATTCTAATGCTACATCTGCCCCCCTCTGGCTCCAGAATACGAACTGGTCTTCAGTGAGCACTAGAGGACAGAGCAGGGATACAATTACTCTTTCTGGAGCGCTGGGCTGTGGCTGGGGTGGAACCAACTGGCTCAGGCTCTTAGCAGCTTGCTAAAAGGCTGAGCCAGCTACCGTTCCAGGTATCTGAGTTGATCCCAACTATGTGGTCAGGATCTTTTCAGAGCCTGGACTAGCTCTCTGGTGTTAACGGAGCCTAAAGCCTGCTGTCGGCTGACATCAATGTGTTTTTAGAGCTTTTTGCAGCAACGCACTACAGTCTATTTAACATGGTTTCCTATGGAACATGTTCACATCTATGCTTTTTTTTGAGCTGCTGCATTTTTGGAAAGGGTCAGGGACTTTGTAGCAAAAACGCTGCTTTTTGCTTTTAAATTGAGTTCAATAGAGAAGCTGCTGAAATGCATGGCAGTATGTTTTTGCTGCATTTTAAATTTTTATTTTGCCCAGTAACAAAAAAAATTCTACTTTAACAAAAAAAAAAAGAGCTGAACAAAATGCAAAAAATGCGGTAAACCCGAATCAAAAGCACGCATAGAAAAACACAAAACAAACTGCAAAAAGCACTGGATAAAGCATCAACCACCAAATGCATATATGTGAACCAAGCCTTAGCCAACTGTCATCTGATAACGGGTCACTGGAGTGCAGAATAAACTGCACTCCTGTGATCCATAGGAGAAGTACAGCCAAAAATGCTTTAAAATGGTAATATAATTCCAAAATTAAAGCTGCAGAATAAAAATTAAAAAAAATTAATTACAAACAACTGGTGATTGTGCCATAAAGGTCTTAGTTCAGTTATTTCCTGCTATAGGATGTCAGTGCTTTGTCCCAGTCTTAGGGTGACAACATAGTAGCACAACTCTGTCATACAATAGAGGGTCATCCAAGTATATATGAATGGCAAATGCAATAAAAACAACTGGCCAGTTTGGTTGGGTAGATAAAATATTAGCAAGCATAACTATATTTCTAAGCCACGTTAACCTCTGACTTTGGGCATATTAGACATGTCCAAAATGCTGAAAAGTAGGTAAACAAATTCAGGTCTACTATACCAGCCATTCATCAGGCCCGGGGCTTTGCTGTAAAACTGATTTTGGCAACTGTAGATGCACCCAATCACTTTGCTCACAGGTTAGCTCATCTCCTTCTAACCACCCCCCATTCCCGGTGGTTCTCTACCTCCTGTGCACCTCCCAAGATCCCAGGGCCACAACAAAAGATGTCAGAATGGCAATCTTCTCTGTGGAGTATGAACATGGTCACTCTCAGCTCTGAAAATCCCACCTAAAAAGGTGGGTATATAAATGATTGAGCACAGTCCTGTGCTCAGTTGGCTGGAGCAGAGGGCAAGGGAGACCATTAGGAATCTAACAGACACCCTAATGTCTCCACAAAGATTACCTGTTACCTACCTCTCACCTGTTAGCCCCCTTGTAACAGCAATAGGGTTCAATTTAAAAAAAAATTAAGATGTAATAGAATAAGAATTTAAAAAGAATTAAAAGCACCCACTCACACATATATGAATGAAAAAAGCACCCACTTACACATATAGGAATAAAAATGTGCGGAGGAACACACACATGTATGAAAATGATTGTGCAACATGGTGAACTCAAAATGAATAGGTGATGTTTTGAATACTTTTACAACTCACCACTTTAGAGTACAATCTTTTTTCACCGTTTGGAAGGAAAATGCAGTTTTAAGTCTTGACATACTGGGTATCTATTTACTCAATACTACCTTATTTTTATTTTGTCTAAAAATTGGGGATTAAATTGTGTTTGTGTGCACCAAATTTCAGTTCAGAGTATTTGCCCTATATTTGTGCAACTGTTTGTCAAATCTATTTTGCAAGGGAAATGTAAAAATTGCAACCACTAATTTGTATGCTATTAGACCTTTACATTCAGAAAATAGATACTGTTCTGTGGGTTTAAGTAATTTTATAGCTAAAATGCAGAATTTAACATGTGTGTGAAAATTGAAATGCTCCAGAGGGGAGTTGGTTAAATATATGAAACTCTATGAGGAGTAACATGGTAAACAAAATTAAAAGCCTTTCAATATAATGAGAAGAAATTACAATAATGTATAAATATAATGAGAAGAAATTACAATAATGTATAATAACACAACGCTAAATCGCTAAACCCATTTCTTATTTATATGTAAATCCCTCATGTATATTATTCTATTAACCTGTAATTTTTTATCATGTTTTATTTTAAAGACAACAAAGAATATGATGCATATCTTTCATATACCAAAGTGGATCCAGACTCTTTAGATCATGAGAGCAAAGAGGAAGAACAGTTTGCACTAGAGATACTTCCAGATATCCTGGAAAAGCACTACGGATACAAACTCTTTGTTCCAGACAGAGATATGATCCCCAGTGGCAGTAAGTACAATTTAAACTACCTAGGGGTTTGAGGATGACAAATGAACATACCTTTATTCAGTTGTATTTAGATCTATTATTTGTTATGTTGATCATGACCTCTGAACAGATCATTGTGCATAACCTAAAGGGGTGCTCCTGTGTCTGAGATTGGGAGGCCAAGCATAAGAGAGAATTCTGTAAGTTAACAGCAGTGCATTCACATTATGTTCTGTATAGAGTAATGCCGCATTTCTATTTCATCACCTCCTTTTTGATTCTCTATTCTGCTGTTTAAGTCTCTAGTGGGCTTATTAGTCTTACTAAGAAAGAGGAAGTTATTGACTCTTATACAAGAGTTTGGAACAGAAAATGATTTTTTTTTAAACAATTAGCTCCCTTAACCATCCTATAATGTAACCTTCAGAGCCCCCTTGTATGATTTACTCTTGAAGCATATCAGGTAGTGCCAACAGCTATAGATATGATTCTGTGAACCCCTCCTGCCCTATGCAAACATACTACCAATCCAGTCCTCAATCACATTCTAAAGCCTGGTAAAATACTCCAGCAAAATGCTTTCCCCCTACATACCTCAATCCTTCTTTGCCCCCAGAATATGAAGACCTCAGTTGATTTTTATGGTAGACTAAGGCAGAATTTTGGAGGATGTATGATTTAACCACCTTTAATTGTATACTTTGTTTTTGTTCTCTGCATGGTGTTCTCTCACCATGCCCCTTCCTCTGTGCTGTTTTTTCTATTTCTGTTGCCTCCAAACCTGAAACTAAGTGCAATCCAGCTTGTAACATAGATTCTTCTTTAATTCCCTTCACCCCTATCAAACACTTTTGCCCTTGCAATTCCTTTTCCAAATAGTAGTTTTATTGATAGTTCCCTCGAATTCTCAACACCCCTACCATCTATTTTCCTTTGGGAAAGAGATGGAGGTGGCCCTCTAGAGTCACATCAATGGTCCCAGATGTGAGAAGCAGTCACGTTAATAACTGAACCCTTTCTTTAGAAAAGCTTACCACAAAATATTACTCAGATGGTACATGCTCCATGAACATCAAGCCAAATTCAGGTTCCTTGGACCTTTCAGGGGCAGTAAAATGGTGTGTACAATAATATATATCTAGTGGGACTGCCCATCAAGTGCTTCTGGTCCAGAGTCTATTAACTGGTAAACACTGTCCTCGGCAACAGCATTCCCAAAAACTCACATGAAGCTCACCATAACCACAACCAGTGGTCTGCACTACTATTGCAGGTTAACTTTTTCCCACAGTTGCTAGGCAAGCTGTCAACAAACTATAAAAAAAAATTATTTGTGCTTATTGAAACAAAAACCAAAAAGAGTACTGCTCCCAAAAAAGTCGAATAACCACCTTACAGTAATCTAAACATACACTTGGTGCGCATCTCTGCATTTATAGCAATACAATATATACTTGTGGTTTGTTAGCCCTTTTTGTATTAGGAGGGTTCACAACTTTATAATAAATAAGTGCAATCTGCCATATGAAAATTGAAACCAGACATAGGAAAAGTGAAAAAGTGCTCAGACCAACATATGTTCTCCAAGATTCAGTCAAATCTTGAAAGGTGATGAACAAACACGATTCCTCCACCAAATAAATGATCAGCCTCTTACCAAAAATGCTGATCTCACTTTCCAGAGATCAATACATGCTTGTGTGCTCGTAATAAGCACGCATCTCACTCATAGGATACTTTTTAACCGCGTCCTCAACATAATGTGACAGACACCAGAATCTTCTTGTGCAATAATCAAATATTCCCTCTGGAGGGGAAAATCGAAGGACCGCAATGGTGTTATATTGTAAAACAATTTTTTTAAATTTAAAATAAATTGACATATACTCACAAACATAAGAAGTATAGGAGCACACAAGAAACAGAGACCAAGAAACGTGATATTCACCGTCATTGACAATGGATTTATATCAACGCTCACTCGCCTCCCCGCCCCTTCCTGGTCCTGCATGCTTGAAAAAAGGGTATTTTATTAATTTTGGAGGGGGAACCCCCATGCTGTTTTTAAAACAATTCTGTCGCGGGGTTCCCCTTAAAATCCATACCAGACCCAAAGGGACTAGTATGTTTTCTTTTAAAGCTGGAACTAATTATGTTCACAGTCTGCTGTCATTGGGGACAGCAAAGCAATCGGTTCAATTAACACATGCAATCAAAATGAAATTCTTCAATGAACAAATGCATCCGAAACAAAACGAAAATTTGCTACATGCACACATCTACTCTTTACCTTAGAAAAAAGGTTTCAACAAATAGGGTATTTTCTGGCCAAAGACCAACTGGTGAACAACTAGAGGTTGAAGTAGAAAAGACCTTCCAATTCACATCTATAGATGTTACAGAGGTGTTATAAGTTATTCATATATGCATGTATATAATAAAGCAATCAGTCTGATAAAGAAAGTGAATATTTCTTCCAGTAAATACATTCCAGAAACGGTAATTGGGATAGTAACTACTATACTCAAAATCTAGGACACTGAAAATTTTCACAGAGTATCTATTACCTCCATACTAGTGTGCCCAGCGCTCCCATTGTAGAATACCTAATAGTCATTGCTGTTGCAGAGTCCTAAAATCTACTTGAAGCTCAATAGGACCAGTTCCATATTCAGGGAAAAACAGGCTTATTGACCTAGAATGTTGACAAACAACAGTTTATGCTATCTATAATAAAACAGATGTTCTTAAGAAAAGTTAAGCATCCCGAGGAGTGCAGTGATCCTAATGTTAATAGATTAAATCGTAAAAAAGGAATGCATGTAAGATGAGGAGTAGTATAACCTGAGATAGGCTCCAGTCAACCTAGGAAGAAATAAGTCCTAGGGTGCAGGGAGCCTAAATAATTCAGAATCGTGTAGATGATGATACAGAGAATCCAAAATAATAAGAAAAAGCAAATGAACCAGATATCTGCTTTTGGGGTCTAAAGTAGAAGCTACAGGTTGAAGCCTGAGCATTTAAACATCAAGAAATGTCCAAGAGAATGAGTAAACAATAACCTACTGGTGAAAGTGAGGCTATATTTTTACAAAGAAGTTTTATGATTGAGATCTGCAGCTATTACAGCTGTACTGGTGGAAGGGGGTTCTTCTGCCCCATCAACAGATCTCCTGCATTGAAGCAGTGTGAGAACTAGGGGGATCAGGAATGCCACTGTCAAGTGCATGATCGGAAATATGTCTTTCATCAAAGGGTATGTTAATAAGGCATCCTTTGACTGTATCCTATTCATATCAGGCACCAAGCCAAAGTGCTGTATGAACACACATTACAGCCATGCAAGAGACAAATTCACATGCCTCTAAGAGGCCATTTCAAAAGAAGTGTAGTGGCTGAGACATTTGATCCACCCATTCCAGAACCCATTGGAACTACTCTCTGTCCCCTGTTGGTGGTGATTTTGATTTGAGAAACTGTGTCACAATGGAACATAGATTTTACTGTGTTGGATGGGTCCATATAAAAGATGCTAACTCAAACTGAGACATCAATTGGTAGTCCAACTGTTTATCATCGAAATCAGAAAAGGTAAAAAGTAGTTCAAGTTGGTCTCACCAGAGTTAAAGAATAAGCATATAACTGCATAGGATACAAGCAAAAAAACTGAGGCATGATGATTGAAGGCAGGGTTACATACATGTAATGATACTCAATGCAAGAACACCCAATATTTTGTAAGCAAAGTTATACAGCACTAAAACAAATTAAATACATCAAATGCTAGTTATGTAAAAATTTAAATATGTGGAATTAACAAACACTCAATACGACAATCATTTACTTTACAATGAATTATGCAAATAAAATATGAAGTGGAATACACAAATTAAAAAGGTACATTGTGAGATTTGTGTAACTGTGCTCAGTGCCAAAAAATGATCAAAATAATTCCAAACAAATTATAAACCAATAGCGGCACTCGAAAATATTCATAAATAGCGCAACAATAATTGGATATCATATATTGAGTATTTGTATTTTTATAATAAACTAATAATATTGTTTGCAATAGATCTAAATTATAAGTGATTCACTATTAAAGTGCACAAATCACCAGTCTCTTAATGACAAAAAATCATATGATGATGAACAGCTGTGTCCACAATGATCCTCCAAATTTGTAGTAGTATAAAGACTCTCGTGTCCACCACCACAAAATACACTGCTCCTTACCAAATAGATAGACTACCTATAATCTGGGGTCTAACAATTTGGTAAGGAGCAGTGTGTTTTGTGGTGGTGGGCACAAGAGAATATTGTGAAAAGGTGCAATATTCTAGGCTCAAAGTGTCCCACTCTAATCAGCTAATGAAGCCATAACACCTGCAAAGGGTTGCTGAGCCTTTAAATGGTCTCTCAGTCTGGTTCAGCAGGGATCACAATCATGGGAAAGACTGCTGACCTATCCAATCAGTTGTTCCCCTGAGAACAGTATACTGATTGTCATGCGCAGGGATCAATATTTTTACATCACTCAATTTTTCTACAATACATTGTCATTTTGATATTCTGCGAACAGTGTTCACTTTTTCAGAATTTTTTTTTAACTGCCTAACATTGATTACAGGCAACATTAGCACAATCAAACTGACTTTAGCACCACTTTAAGTTCCCAAAGTAGTTTTTTACCTTAATGCATTCCTTGTATTAAGGTAAAAAACTTCACTACCTATCCTACCCCCCCCCCCAATCCCAAGACACTCCTCTCACCTTTGCAGCATTGTCCTGGCTACAGTGCCATTCTCCTCTCTTCCTGGATTCATATAAAACACTGAGAGCAGCAGGAGTGAGACTCCTTCTGCTGTCATCCAGATTCCTGTGAGGACGGAGCAGGGACATGGTTTATTGGTGCTATGTGTCTACAGACGCACACAGCCAGAATCCGGAGTGAGCAGTCACGGGTGCATAGCATATGGATTGCTAAGCGGGTACTTATAACATATTTTTTTTATTTTAAG